CTTCCTCTGGCCAGTGTAAGTAAGCAAGAAAAGAAATAAAAGGCATCCAAACTGTACTGGAAGAAATAAAATTGTCTCTGTTTGCAGATGACATGATCTTATCTATAGAAAGCCATAAAGATTCCACACACAAAAAAACTATTACAACTAATAAATGAATTAATCAAAGTTGCAGTATATAAAATCAACATGTCAACACACAAAAATCAATTGTTTTGATATACTAACAATGAATAATCTGAAAGGAAATTTTTTAAAAATTCCATTTATAATAGCATCAAAAAGAATAAAATACTTAGGAATAATTTTAACCAAGAGGGTGAAAGACTTGTACACTAAAAACTAAAAAATATTACTGAAAGAAATTAGACACAAATAAATGGAAAGACATTGTGTTCATGGATTGCAAGAGTTAATATTGTTAAGATGTCAATACTACTGAAATTAAGATTCAGTGCAATCTCTATCAAAATCCCAATGATATTTTTTGCACAAATAGAAAATTCCATTGTAAAATTTATATGGACTTTCAAAGGGATTGCAAATAGCCAAAACAATCTTGAAAAAGAACAAAGTTGGCATTTCACACTTCCTGATTTCAAAACTTGCTACAAAGCTACAGTAATAAAAATGATGTGATACTGGCATAAAGACAGATAGATAGACCCATGGAATACAATAGAGAGCCCAGAAATAAGAACACTCATATATTTGGTCAGAAATTTTAAACAAGGATGCTAAGACCATTCAATGGAGAAAGGATAGTCTTTTCAGCAAGGGTTGCTGGAAAAACTGGATATCCACATGCAAAAGAATGAAGTAGGACCCTTACCTTACACAATATACAAAAATTAACTCAAAATAGATCAAAGACCTAAACATAAGAGCTAGAACTATAAAACTCTTAGGAAAAAAACACAGGGGAAAAATTTTATGACATTGGATTTGGCAATGATTTCTTGGATATGACACCAAAAGTACAGGAAACAAAAGTAAAAACACATAAATTGGACATCAAAATTAAAAACTTTCATGCATCAAAAGACACAATCAACAGAGTGAAAAAGCAACCTACAAAATGGGAGAAAATATTTGCAAATCATATATCTGACAAGGAGCTAGTATCCAGAATATAAAAGAACTTCTACAATTCAGCAACAAAAAAAACCCGACTCATTTAAAATGGTCAAAGGACTCAACTAGACAGTTCTCCAAAGAAGAGGTACAAATTACCAAGAAGCACATGAAAAGATGCTGAACATCACTAATCATTAGGTAAATGTAAATCAAAACCACAAGGAGATACCACCTCGCACCTATTAGGATGCCTACTATCAAGAAAAAAATGGAAAACAGTGAGTGTTGGCGAGAATGCGGAGAACTAGGAACACCTGTGAGCTGTTGGTGGGTATGGTACAGCCACTATGGAAAATAGTATACTGGTTCTTCAAAGAATTAAAAATAGAACACCATATGATCTAACAATTCCGCTTCTGAATGTATACCCAAAAGAACGGAAAGCAAGGTTTCGAAGAAATATTTGTATGCCCATGTTTATAGCAGCATTATTCACAATAGCCAAAAGGTGGAAGTAACCCAAATGAATGGATAAATAAAATTTGGTATATACATACAATGGAATATTATTCAGCTTTTGAAAAGGAAAGAAATTCTGACATGTGCTACAACATAGATGAAACTCGAGGACATTATGCTAAGTGAAACAAACCAGTCACAAAAAGGTGACTACTGGGCTGGACATAGTGGCTTACACCTGTAATCCCAGCATTTTGGGAGGCCAACGCAGCAGAATTGCTTGAGGCCAGGAGTTTGAGACCAGGTTGGGCAACATAGAAAGACATCATCTCTACAGAAAATTTTAAAATTAGCCAGGTGTGGTGGCATGTGCCTGTGGTTCTAGCTACTCAGAAGGCTGAGGTGGGAGAACCACTTGAGCCCAGGAGTTTGAGGTTACAGTAAGCTATGATCATACCACTGCACTCCAGCCTGGGCAACAGGCTTACCTCTTAAAAAAAAAAGGCAAATACTGTATGATTCTGCTTGTATGAGGTACCTAGAGTAGTCAAATTCACAGAAATAAAAAGTAGAATGGTCTTTGGTAGGAACTGGGAGGAAGAGGAAATGGGGAGTTATTGTTTAATGAATATAGAATTTCAGTTTGAGAAGATGGAAAAAATTCTGAAGATAGATGGTAGTGACAGCTATACAACAATGTGAATGTACTTAGTGCCACTGACCTTATGTTTTAAAATGGTTACAATGGTTAAATTTTATGTTACGTATATTTTATCACAATTAAAAAACAGATAGGGCCCTGTACAGTGCCCCAC